TAAAAGCCGATGGCCTAGCCAGGGAGCACTGCCTAAACAAGGAGGCTAAATAGATACAACCAATAACACTAGAGGCAGCAGAAGCTGAGTCCTCTAGTGTAACATCAATCACCAAATACAACCATCAAGAATGTAATCTAGCCATTGAACTATAGAATAGACCTAGCTAGAAAATGAGTCTTCAGCCCAGAATCATGTCCTTATCTTCCATGATTCATGCCATTTCCTCATAGCCCCATTAACAATGATGTGCTCTGGCTTCCAGCTTTTCTCAAAGACCCATAGGTTTCTGGACTTCCAAAGCCACCAAAGTATGTATGTGGTAAGTTCAATTCTGGAGTCAGCAACTTTGGATTTGTCTATTGAGCATATAGTGCCCCACCAATCTTTGAATTTGCAGTTTTCCACTACAATTCCATCCCATTGAACAGGGACATATTTCCATAATCTCCTGGCTCTAGAACAGGTTAGGAGGGCATGCTCAATAGATTCAACAGTCTCACCACAGCAAGGGCAGATGGCATCAACCTCAATGCTCCTTTCTTTCAGTTTAAGATTCACAGGTAGAGCATTTGAGAAGCATTTCCACAAGAAGTGTTTGATTTTACCTTTAGTCTTGATGCTCCAACTCTTGTGTCTAATGTGCGGTTTCTGACTGCTGTGTTGCTGCCCTCAGCAATGTCAAAGAATATGAGCTTTTTATTGTGCAGGTAGTCATAGGAGGAAGAGACTGAGAATCTGCCTTGTGTCCCCATTGTCTATTTCCATTTGTTAGCTAAGAGAGGATCAAGAGTTCTGATCTTAAGGACTTCATTGCTGTCATCAACAGCAAACACTTCTCTCACTTTTTGGACATTCCATGTGTTATCAGCAAGTAGCAGGTCCTGCACCAAGAGTTTGCCAAAGCTAGCATCATTAGAGAAATTATGGGGTCTTCATATGATTCTTGGAATCCAATTCAGGTCATGAAGATGAACAGAGGCTCCATTCTTGATCTCTAAAGTCAGGCCTTCTTTCAAAAGCCATCTAACTTTGAGCCATGACTTCCAAAGCCAAGAGGAGTTTTGTTTTGGCTGGGCCTCAAAGATAGAGGTATGAGGGAAATATCTACTCTTTAGAATCTTACTCATGAGGAGGTGAGGCTGAGTGGTCAATCTCCACATATGCTTCACAATCATTGCATCATTAACCAGAGAAATGTCTCTAAAGCCAAGACCACCTTGTTTCTTAGAAAGAGTGAGGAGCTCCCATCTTTTCCAGTGAATTCCAGAGTTCTGTTCACTGTTTCTACTCCACCAAAACTTTGCAAATAGGCTGGTCACTTCTTTGCAGATGGCCACAGGTAGTCTATAGCATGACATTACGAAGAGTGGTAGAGCATTGGGGATAGATTTGACCAGGACTTTTTTCCCAGCAGTTGAGAGATAATTGTTTTTCCAACTGAGGATACTGTTCTTCACTGCCTCTGTCACAAAGCCAAAAACTTGTCTTTTAGAATGGCCAATCCCAAAAGGCATCCCCAGATATCTAGAGGATTTCTGAATTCTGATCCCAGAAAAGTGGTTACAGATAGCCTTCTTGGTGAGTGGGCTAGTATTCTTACTGAAGAAGATGGAGGACTTAGCTGTGTTGACCTTTTGGCCAGAGAACAACTGTGCAAAAAAATAGCCCATGGCTGAATATTACAACCAGGAACTAAAAACTGGGAGGACGGATCGAAAGACCGCCTAGAGCCTCGCTAGCCACACTAGAATAGAAAATACACAACACACAATACAAGACACCAACACACCAACTACGAACGCTCTCCACAGGAGAATAGAAACGGCCCCCACAGGGGAATCAGCACTGAGGACAACGACCCAAACCTAAAACACAATCCTACCTATCAACGCAACAAACACACAAAGAAGAGCAAAGCAACTACAAGCTATAACTAATCAAACGAACGGAGCCCCCCCAGTGGGTAAGACAAACCCAGCACAATGCACCAACGAAATAAAGACTCCATTCCACATCTTGACCCTAAATCCGGAACGCCAATCTCGCCACTGCCTAATGCCTAGCAAAGGACAAGTCCTGAACCTCGAACCACTCCAAGGAAGAAGTCGACCCACAACCAGAGGAGTTTAAACCAGCCCCCCACACACCAACTACCCGGAATCAGCCAACACCACTAGCCAAGATCTGGACGAGCCGGTATCCTAAAGCCACAACACTAGTGGAAAAGGGACCCAGGAGAGAGAAAGAACCACCTCAGCCCCCGGCCGCCGCGACTCAGAAGAGTCGAGACACCAGGACCGCAACTCAACACCCCAACCTCATACCATCCTTCAGTAGTCGGACCCAGATCAGAGGAGAAGCCGTCCGCCGTCGACCACCAAACTGGGGCGGAGCCGACAGAGAGATGGCTGGAAAACACCGTCGGAGCCGAGAGTCGGACCCTCCTCGAAAGTGGAGCCGTCAAAACCGTCGTCGACAGCCGTACAAAGACGGAATCGACAGATCTCTCCATAATCCACCTTCGAAGCCAAGAACCTCGCGAACGACGACTTCCACGAACGGCCTACGGACCAAACGCATTCCCTACTGGCGCGAACCAAAAAAAGGCACAAAATTGAGGCTAGGGATGCAACTAAGGGCCATCCGCCGACAAAGGCCGGATTTTCGCCGGGGAAGGCGAGGAAAAAGGAAGCAGCGACGGGGATTAGGGTTGCGGCAGATAGCTATCCTGAAAAAAGTGTGTCTTAAACTGCCAAAATTGCAAAATTATGCTTAAATTGATAAGTAAAACAATGACCTATTTTTTAATTAGGCCTGTTATAATATATTATTTGGTAAATTTAAAAAATTATGACAAATATTATATAGAAAACTATTTCAATAAATTCTCAAACCCTTTTTAACTTTCAAGACCAATCTCTAATTTTTTAATATTCCCACCGCACTCTTAATTATAAAATTTTCCCGCGTAACTCACCAACCTTATAAAAGTATATAAATCAATTAAAAAAATCACATCAAGCCCCACTACTAGTCTATGAACTTTCTCTTTTTTTTTTTATTATTATTATTTCATTTCTCTCTCCTTCCACACGATTTTTTATTTATTTCTTTATTTTCGTCTCATCTTCCACTCTCTCTCTCGTCAACTCTTCTCTTTCTCCTTTTTTTTTTTTTTTTTTTTTT